CCATCTGATGGGACATTTTCTCATTTGGGGTTCCTTCTTCTCAGATGTCTCCAAATTGTGTCAAATTGGCCAAAACAAAACAAAATACAAAACAAACAAATGTTGCATGATTCCTAAATGGTCTTATAATAAAAACCCGGAGCCAGATATTGGGCTAAATGCTGAAAGATCAGAGGAAACAAGCCACAGCCACTTCTCACCTCGCCAACTCCTCCACGAATCCAGACTGAATGCTTCTGAGTCCTCAGCCGAAAGGCTCTCTAGTTCCTGTCTCCTCACACCTTATATGCCTTTCTCCACCCAGCCATATCACTTCCTATCTCAACCTTCCTAGTCCTGGGATTAATGGCGAGTGTGCTTCCCAAATACTGGGAAAAACATGAGATCTCAAGTGCTGGGGTTAAAGGTGTGTGTCACCACTGCCTGGCTCTGTTTCTCTCCTAGACTGAGTCAATCTCTTGTAGCCCAGTGTGGCCTTGAACTCACAGAGATCCAAATGGATCTCTGCCTCCCGAGTGCTAGGATTAAAGGTGTGTGCCACCACTGCCTGGCTTCTGTTTAACTCTGTGGCTGGCTCTGTCCTCTCTGATCTTCAGGAAAGCTTTACTTCTTAGATTACAAATATCACCACAAACAAACAAACAAAAACTAGCCAGCAGTCATTTTTTTTCCCTTCAATAACTGATTTTTCCTAAGAACAGGACTGTTTTCCACACCACAATGCACCTGTCAAATCAGGAACTTAACATGGTCACAAACTGTTGCTTGCCATTACGCAGAGTTCACCAGTGGCTCCAACATTGCCCTCTGCCAAGTCCCTGGGTTTGGGCCCCCCTTTTTATCTGGAACAGCTCCAAGGTTACCCTGTATTTGAAGAACAGGTGTGTTTTTAAAGGGCCCAGGGCAGGCAGTTTTGCAGAACGTCCATTGATTTTCATTTGTGTGCTCTTCCCTCCTCTTGGCCAGACCCAGGGAATGACACTCTGCCCGAAGGCCATGACAGGGATGCTGACTTTATGCCCCGCTTCTGTGAGGGATTGCATTGTCTCCTGGCTGATGCTAACTTTCTGTTTTGTTTTTGACAGGATTACACCTAGTCCAGACTAACCTAAAAAAAAAACACCATTGCTATACAGCCAGTGGTGACCTTGAACTTCTGGTCCCATTTCCACCTCCTGAGTTCTGGGATGACCGTTTATATGTACCACAGGCTTCATGCACCCTTGGCCTGCATGCTGTCAACTGGGCTCCATCTCCAGCCCTGGTGCCAACTCTGACAGCATGGCTGGGGTGATCCGCCTTTCTATCTCCCTGAGACAGTCCCCTGCAACTCATCATAATTACTCGGTATCTTGTGACCTGACAACCACGGAGATACTTTGGTCTTTCACACTCTAATATCAACATTGAACCAATTTTTATTGACAAGTGTCACCAAATAACATGTCGAGAAAACCCCTGTTCACATAAGGCCCCGTGAGGCTTGTCCCCACCACGTCAGAGCAAAATCCCAGCTTTTTTTTTTCTTCCTCCTACTTGATTTACAAGTCACTAATTTCGGAGGATACACAGTTGAGCAGTGGTACCCTAAGGTCCTGACAGGAAAGAAGATATTTTACAGAGATAACTGTGTCTCCCCATTTGGCCATTAAAAATCAAAGGCAATAGACTCTAAGGAATTGGAATTCCTTCAGGAGTTAAATGCTGAAAGAGCAGCAATAAGAGGACAGGCAGCTTGTCCCCTACAGAGATTTCACTCAGTTCTACTTATAGGACCACTTTGCAGGAGAAACCT